TGCCCCCCCGGGCGTCTGCCCCCCTCGTCGATGGGGCCGTGCTGGAGGGTGGGTCATCCGCGCCATCGGACCCGTTTGGGGTAGCGACGCGGTCGCCCCGCGCAAACTTCTCATGGTTGGCAGCGTGGCCGCTGCCCAAGAGGCGTTCTGACGGAGCAATGGCTTGCTGGATGCACGCGTCGAGCTTGTCCCAAGGGTGCGGGGGGCGGGCGCGCCGCGCAGGCGGCGCTGCTGGCGGCGCCTTGGGATCGTCGGGGGCCCAGCACCACGCGGTCTTGTCCTTTCCTTCCAGCTGGGAGCCAACGGGGTAGTGCGGCTTAGGGGTGGCACCGAGCCCGCAGCTTACCTGGGGCCGCCGATGACTTCCCGGATTGCTGGGGCCAGGAAGTAGTCGATGATGGAGCTGCCTGTGGCCGCGACGCAGGTGTGAGCCTCGGGCTGGCAGTGTAAGCCCACCGTTGTCTCCGCCCCCCCGCGCGCGCTGATGGCCTCGGCGTCATCGTTCCAGTCGCCGCCGATGATCCAGTCCAGGCCTGGGGCGTTTCAGCTCGCAACGCGTTGAGCTAGCGCCCGCAGGATCGCGAGGTTCTCGCCGGCGACTCCGATGCTCTGCGCCAAGTGCATGCTGACGGCGACCAGTCCGCCAGGAACGCCCCGGCTGGCACGCGCCGCAACCGCGCGGTGGGGATGCACCACGTGATCTCCATCAGGCGGCGCGGTGAGCAGGGCGTCCGTGGGCGCCAGGACGCAGGCGCCACTGGAACTGGCGGCGGCAGTCGCGTCTGCCGCAACCTCGCCAGGTGCCCGCAACCCGTGCCAGCCAGCGCCATGGAACGCCCGCTGCACTGTGCCGAGGCGCTCTGCAACAACCCGAGTCTCCTGTCCGAGGGCCAACATCCCGTCGTCGCGAGGCAGGAAGTTCAGCGGCGGCCCATGCGATCCCGCGTTGACCGTGGCCACGTTGAACCTGCTATCGCTGTGGACTCGCTGGGCCTCGCCCTCGCCACTGTGGTCTGCAGCTGACCTCGCCGCCTCAGACTCGTTAGCGCCCTGGCGAGGTGCGCCAGGAGGTCCAGCAGCGTGGGCGCCAGTCGTCGCCGTCGAGGGCGTTGAACAAGTTGGGCCCGGGGCTGCCTGCGCTGCTGATGGCGGCGTGGCCCTCGAGGAGGTGCTGGCGCTATGAGTGCTGGCGCCGCTGGCGCGGTGACGAGGTGGGCTTTTCTTCCAGTTGCGAAGTAAGACTGGGGAACAGGCGTCAGCCTCGCGAGTGCTAGGGGGGAACCCGTCTCGACCATCTCCAACAGCCTCAATGAGCATGCCGGGCATCACGAACAGGCAGATGAGCAGCGTCGCGCTCGGCCGGAGAGGCGCGTTGCTGCGGAGAGGCCCAGGCCGCTCGCATAGGCCAATGCGGCAGCCCATGCAGGGGGTGGCCAATAATTGCGACCGCACTGCATCGCGAACTGCATATTCACATCCGCAGAGCACATAGGAGTACGCGTCGAAGTAGACGGACCTGGTAAGGTCTGCACTGCCGACTGTGGCCTGGTGTCTGAGGAGGCGCTGCACTATCAGTGCTGGCGCCGCTAACTCGCAGGCGAACCAGGCGCTCGGCTGTGAGGGGCGCGTCGCCGAAGATGTGCGCGTGCCACGTGCTGCCGCTAAAACTGTTAAAGAGATCGCGGGGCAAGGGGAACTTCCGCCAGCTCCGGCGACGTCGTCCTAGCCCCGCGCTGGACTGAGCAACGTAGAAATTAGGCGCATGGCGGCTTCCTCCCCGCAAAGCTTCTTCCTCCTCCGCCACGTCCGCGTTTCGGCTGACCCCGACGCGCGACGTAAGGGGGAGAAGGAGGAGCAAAACCGTAACCGAGTCAATATGGATGCCCTCGCGCCGCCTTCGGGGCCGCCTTCTTCTTGGCGACCGCGTCCACGAAGGTCTCGCGCAGCCGCTTGTTGGCGAGGCGCATCTCGACGTCTGCGCCTTCGTCCTGAAACACCCCCCCTGCCTTGTCGAGGGCGGCGCCGATCTCCTCCTCGGACATGGCGTCGACGCCGGCGTCGGTGAACTCCACGTCGCCCGACGGTTCAGGCGCCTCAGCAGCGGGCGGCACAGTGGCAGGCGCGCCAGCAGCGGCATCATGGGCAGCAGGCTTCCCAGCGCCGGGCTGGCAGCCCCAGCAAGAGTAGAGGGCTTAGGCGGAGAATTCGCGGCCATGGGCGGAGGCTTCGCCTGAAGTGCGCGAAGAGATTGTCGAAGACGTTGGCCGCTGTCCCCAGCTCGGCACACAAACTTTGCTCCAAGCCCTTCTGCTGGGCCAACTGCCCGATCTGCTTGACGTTGAGGGCGAACTTGGGGAGGAGAGCGTGGAGCGTGGGCTTGCCCTCAGGGGTCGGTGGGCCACGCGCAGCACCAAGGCTCTTGTACTCTTCCTCCAGCCGTAGCACCTCCGCGTCCGCCTCCTGCGTAGCAGCAAGCTCAGCTCGTCGATGAGCTTCTGTTGCTTGTCGTGGTCTTCGCGCAGGCGCTTGGCCTTGGCTCTGACATTGCGCATGCGCGGGCCAACTGCATGTCGGCATCCAGCTCATTGCCCAGACGGTCCTGTTCTTCAGTGGGGCTCTTGGCGTAGGCTTTGTCAGAGTCCAGCTTGGAGCCCTCAAGAAATTTCAGAATGTCGGAGAGCTTTTTGAAGCGGCCCAGCTAGACCTGCTTCGTGCTTTTATCCTTCTGTGCCAGCAGAGGTCGCACCATGGGCGCTCCCACTGCCGACGCCAGTCCCAGTGCCGGCACCCCCGCCAGCAACGACAGTAGCCCGGGGCGGCTTCTGTGCGGACTTGAGCTGCTGCAGGGTGGCCTGCAAGTCGGCGATCTGCTTGGCCATGGCAGTAGCCTCAGAATTTGGGGTTGATTGAGGCCTTGGACATGGTCGAAGGTCCTTTCTTGGGCGTCTTCGGGCCTCCGTAGCATACCCCCTTGCGCAAGCTGCACTTGGAGCAGCGTAGGAGGGGGGGCAGGAGGGGGAGGAGGAAAAGGAGGATAGGGAGGGGTATGGGGATGATGATGATGATGCTGCTGATGCTGATGCTGATGCTGATGATGATGATGATCCCCTCAGCTTCGGGCCGTGGTGCATCTGGCCAGCAGGGCACGCAGCGCAGTTGAGCGCTTTGCGAGCATACGGGCTCTGGCATCGACGGCGCGCCGAGCCGCAGTTGCCGAGACGGTAGCGGCCGTTCTAATTTGATTGAAAGCAGCGAGCGTGAGATCGTGAAAGATGGCAATGGAGAGGAGACAATCAGTGGCAGACACGGGCGCGCGAGAGAGAACAATGCGATATTCAGCCGAGAGATCGGACCACGACAGAGGCAAAGAACGCAGATGAATTAGCGGCAGCGGTGGCTAAAATGGGACAGATCATGTAGTGGCGGAGGTCATCTCCGCCGACTACATTACATCCAGCTCTGCACGTTTGACATCCCTGCCGAAATCTGCGGGATGTACACCAAGCGTTACACAAACTTCTGAGCACAGCACAAGTTACGAAAGTCGGGAGATGCTGACTTATCACGCCTAACCGAATTGCACACACATCAGCGTCATGCATGTTAGCATCGTGAAGCAGGTGGAGAAGACGACGAAAGGGAGGAGGCACGAGCGAGGGGGCAGGGAAAGACGCACGCAAAAAACAAGAAATGAGCCTTTGAATGTCAAGCCTAGCTACATCAGGTATGCGACGATGAAAATTGGGCAGGCTACACATATGATTATACTTGCTATAGAGTTGGTGGAAGATAGAATGCTTAAACAAGGGTTTTTCGAATGCCACACGGTGCTGGGGGTCGTCACGGATATCCTCAAGCCTTTCGACAAAGTGATGATACATGGCAGACTTCTGGGCACAACGAAACATTCCAGCACGACCTTCGACCTCGAGACGACGGAGTTGAGGAAGTCCAATGAGCTCTGCACTTTCCAGCATCTGACTTGTATCCGCAAATCGCGGCGCGGCTGTCAGCAGCTGTACACTTCCTCGGATTGTTTTAAAGACGGCAGGCGTGGGCATGAAGAACTGCTGGATGTGGCTAAGAACGGTGTGGCCAATCAGGTTATATGCAGCAGTATTCCTGACGAGCCCGAGGTTAAGCGAACGAATGTGATGACAGCGACTGCGAAGCTTCTCGGATGGGGCTTTCCAGGACCAGATATGTGAGTCCGCGCCCACGAATAAACCCAGATACATCCCACGGTCCAGAATCTTAAAACGACTGACGTTGACACCGAGCTCCCTGAACGATTTGTTGACCTCCACGGCGGATTTCGGCCCAAGGAAAACCAACACACACTTGCCAAGGTTCAAGCAGAGCCCGCTGGACTTCATGATGATGAGTATGATGATGATGGTGATGATGATGATGATGAGAAAAAAGAGGAGGAGGAGGACGGGGAGGAAGAGGAGAGGGAGGGCGTGGAAGGAAGAGTGGCGAGCGGGAGCGGCGCATGGGGTGGTCGGCGGCGCGCGCAAGGGGAGCATGGGGGAGGGGGGAATGATTCCTATGAGGAGGTTGCAGGTAAGGCCCGGGCCTTTCTGAGCAGGGGTGCTTCCAAGAAACCTTCCCCGCCCCCTTCCCCTGCCCTCCTCCTTGCGCGTTACCGAGGCGTGGGGGGAAGAGTGGGGCGCGGGAGCGGCGAAGGGGGTGGGGGAGAGGAGGGGGGGAAACTACAGTGGGGGCCAGGCCACAAGAAACCTTCCACAAGAAACCCAACCCTGCGACCCCAGGACGTGCATTGATTTTTGGTGTGGGAACGTCACGCTTTCAATAACAAAACCATCGAAACCCAAGAAACCCAGGGCACCCAAGAGGCAAGCAAGGTGTTTCTTGGCATGGGTCTCCACTGTACACACAACACAAGGCTAGGCTCGGGGGGGCCCGGCGAGATGGGGCGTTTTCTCCCGTACTGCCTGGCCGAGCCTCTGAATTCCGCGGGCGGAAGCTGGACCGCCTCACTCCGCGGCCACCACGTCCTCCTCTGGGCGGGCTGGGTTCTCCATGTCGTCGAAGGCCAAGTTCTTCCTCGGAGGAAGAAAAACTGTTGGAGGTCCGCGCGGACTTCTTGGATCGGCGCCGGACCCCCGTCACTGGCTCCCGAGTTGCCGCCAGGAGGTTCCAGCGCCGATCCAAGAAATTCGCGCGGAACTCCGACAAATCATGCTTGATCAGGTTTTCTCCCCTCCGTTCTGCGGCGTGCAGGAAGTGAGATGGAGAAGGCCATCCCAGAAGGCCCAGAAGTTCTCTTTGGCCTTCTGAGACATTGTCTGAGCCTTCTTCACAGGCGCAGAAATTCTCTCGGAAGGCCAGGGGGATTCTGAGAAGCTCCGCCGCCTTCCGAGAAGGCCTCCGCCTTCACGCTGGAAGAGGAGGAGGAGGAGGAGGAGGAGGAGGAGGAGGAGGAGGAGGAGGAGGAGATCTCCCCCCCCCGGGCGGCGCCGCCGATCGATTCCTCCTCTTCATCTTCTGCTGGAGGCGATAGAAGAAGCAGGCGGCCGTGCCCAGGCACGAGAGCAACACCACCGTGCCCCACGGGAAGCCGCCAGCGTGGGCGTCCGGGTCCGCGTCCTCCGCAGCCGTGGGGCCTCGTGCGGCGCGATCGCTTGGCCACCCTCCAGGGTTGGGTCGGGCATGCCCCCCTACAGGCTGATTTCGGACGAGAAATCAAACATACTCAAAACAATAAAAAGAAAACACTAAAAATAGTCGAACATCGTCCCTGGACGTTTCCTCTACTATCTTTAAATATTCCTGTAGAGGGACATGCCCGACTTTACACCAGGGCGAGTGCGAGGCAACGATTGTTAGGGAGCCCACAGAGGACGTGCGCGCCCAGCTAGGTACATGAGCACGGCCCCTCGATTCGCGAGACGAGCTGCGCGGTACGAACATTCGCGCAATGCGCGCTCTCGAAACCAGCGCGGATTCGTGTGCGTGTACGGCCTTCTGCTCCAGAGATAAAAGGGGGGAGGGGAATGCATTGAGTACCGTTTAACCGATCCCCATCCTCAGCGGCGTGGCCTGGGCCCCAGTGGCCGATTTACCCCCTAGATGGGGATATAGGTCGTTCCCTTCGGGTTTCGAGAGGTGTATCCCCGACTGGGGTGGTAATGTGGTGGGGGGTTCGAAGGGGATGGGGATGGGGATGGGGATTGGTTTAACGAAACCGATGCATCGACCTGGAATCGGCGACGCATCGTCGACAAATCGGCTGGGGAGGCCCCCTGGTGGCGAAGCCGCACCTTCCCGGGCGGGTTGGTTGTTAGAGCCCTCGGGCCCCTACCGGCGAGCAGTGGGCGATCGGGGGTGTGGAGGCGTCCCCCCTACAGTTAGGTCGGGCATGTCCCCCTACAGGTGGATTTTGGACGAAAAATTAGGAAATAGCAAGGACATATCTCCAACTGATCAACAATACAATTACCCCAGTGCGACCCTACCTAGAAGTTGGAGCCCCTAGGAAAGCAGCATTAGTTGCTATGCTATGCTATGCTATGCCATGCTATGCTGCGCTATGCTATGCTATGCTATGCTATGCTATGCTATGCTATGCTATGCTTTGCTATGCTATGCTAAGCTATGCTATGCCATGCTGCGCTGTGCTATGCTATGCTATGCTAAGCTGCGCTATGCTATGCTATACTAGACTACGCTATGCTATGCTGCGCTATGCTATGCTATGCTATGCTTGGCTATGTTATGCTATGCTATGCTATGCTATGTTAAGATGAGATAAGCAACGCTAAGCTAAGGGGACGTAACTGGGGGAACCGCGGGGCGGATCCTGGAGGAACCGCCCGGGGCGTGGTCCACTGCCCGGCCCTTTAAGCACACCAAGTAAGAACTCTTCTAGGCAAAGCCTAGGTAGGGAGAAAAGTGGTACCCATACTTTTTTAAACAAATAATAATATGTTTGAATATTCCTTTCATGGAGGGACACGCCCGACTCAACCCTACAGTCAACCCGTATCATAAGGATGCACGGTGAGGATGTGGAGGGCCTTGGAGGCCCACCATGTGAACGTTTTTCGAACGAGGTTGGCCAGTGGGAGTCGCTAAAGGTGGGCCGAAGAGGCAAAGATGCGAGGCTACCCTTGTGCAGCCTGCCCATCCTCACTAGGCGGGTTGACTGTATGCCTATACCTCCCCCCCGAGGGTTTCCGCCGAGGTAGAGAGAGGGGCCCAGGTACACACAGCCAAGCCCAGAGGACCCCTCGCGTCGTGAACAGAAAATAACATGGCGGACGTCTGTAGCTTCCACATGTGTCGGCCGTTGGGAACCTTTCCTGGGCCCCGGGGCTATCAAGAAGCTCGAGATGAAAAGCCGGCCCCATGGGAAAGGGCGCCCAATTTCGCGCTCTCGCGCCGCGCGAGAGCGCGAAGACCTTCACGCGCTCTCGCGCCGCCCCCCCTCCCCCAGGCCTAACTCCTCCTCGTCCTCCTCGTCCTCCTCCTCCTGCTCCTCCTCCTCCTCCTCCTCCTCCCCCTCTTCCTCCTCCTCCTCCTCCTCCTCCTCCTCCTCCTCCTCCTCCCTCGTGGCCTGGCGGCTGGCTTGCCTGCAAAGCGGGCGCGCGGTCGTCCCTCGCGGGGGTCGCCGCCCGGAAGCTGGGGCTGGACACCTGGATGGCGCGCTCCAGCTGCGCGCTCTCCTGGCCAGGGAGAGGCAGGAAGGGCACGCTAGGCTTAGGTCGGGCGTGTCCCCCTTAGCGGGCCCTGGAAACGACAGGGCCGCTGTTGTACCGGTTCCGTTTTGCTGTTTTTTTGCCGGTTCCGACGCCGTTTTTTTACCGGTTCCGTCGCCGTTCTTTTACGGGTTCCCGCTCCAGTTCCAATCCTGGAGCCGTTTTTGTTGCCGTTTCCGGTCGCCGTGTTTTTTTTGCAATTTCCATTTTCAAGGGACACTTTTCGGAAACGGTGAAAAAACGGCCCTGCCGTTTCCGGGGCCCACTAAGGTGTCCCCCCACAGGCGGATATTGGACGAAGAACAGAACATTCACCAAAAATACACAACACATGCTCAAGCATGGGAAAACAAACAACCTGACGAAAGACCCAACCATCAGCAGTTGTGGATACCGAATTCTGGGTCCATCGTTCTATGAGGCCCTCGGTGGAGCTCCCTATGAGGCCACGATCCTCGTGAGGGATGTGACGAAATGGCCCGAGGCCGCCATGCGAACCCTGCCACTGGGGCATTCGGTGGAGTTCCCTATGGGGCCACGACCCTCGTGAGGGGTATGCCGAAACGGGGCGGGGCCGCCATACGAACCCTACCACTGGCGCCCCTGGTGGAGCTACCTATGGGGCGATGATCCCCGTGAGGGGAGCGCCGAAATGGGGCGAGGCCGCCACGCGAACCCTGCCACCTGTACCCTCGGTGGAGCTCCCCACGGGGCCACCATCCTCGTGAGGAGTGCGCCGAAATGGGGCGGGGCCGCCACACGAACCCTGCCACTGGCACCTTCGGTGGAGCTCCCCACGGGGCCACGATCCTCGTGAGGGGTGCGCCGAATTGGGGCGGGGCCACCATGCAAATCTTGCCACTTGCGCCTTTGGTGGAGCTCATATGGGGCCACGATCCTCGTGAGGTGTGTGCGGAAATGGCCCGAGGCCACCATGCGAACCCTGCAACTGGCGCCTGCGGTGGAGCTTCATATGGAGCCACGATCCTCGTGAGGGATGTGCCGAAATGGCCCGAGGCCGCCATGCGAACCCTGTCACTGGCGCCTTCGGTGGAGCTCTTATGGGGCCACGATCCTCGTGAGGGGTGTGCCGAAATGGCCCGAGGCCGCCATGCGAACCCTGCCACTGGGCGCCTTCGGTGGAGCTCTCTATGTGGTCACGATCCTCGTGAGGGGTGTGCCGAAATGGCCCGAGGCCGCCAAGCGAACCCTGCCACTGGCGCCTTCGGTGGAGCTCTCTATGTGGTCACGATCCTCGTGAGGGGTGTGCCGAAATGGCCCGAGGCCGCCATGCGAAACCTGCCACTGGGACCTTCGGTGGAGCTCCCCACGGGGCCACGATCCTCGTGAAGGGTGTGCCGAAATGTCCCGAGGCCGCCATGCGAACCCTGCCACTGGGGCATTCGGTGGAGCTTCCTATGGTGCCACGATTCTCGTGAGGGGTGTGCCGAAATGGCCCGAGGCGGCTATGCGAACCCTGCCACTGGCGCCTTCGGTGGAGCTTCCTATGGGGCCACGATCCTCGTGAGGGATGTGCCGAAATGGCCCGAGGCCGCCATGCGAACCCTGCCACTGGGACCTTCGGTGGAGTTCCCTATGGGGTCACGAAACGCTGTGCTGGGTCTTTTGAAACAGAGACATGCGGAGGGCAGAGGCAAGGAGATGATGATGGCGATGATGGTGATGATCACGATGATGGCGATGATGGCGACGACGATGACGACGATGATGATAACGACGATGATGGTGATGGTAACGACGACGATTATAATGATGCTGCTGATGATGACGATGATGACGATACCGATGATGATGACGATGATGATGATGATGACGATGATGATGAATCTGATTATGATTACGATGATGACGATGATGATGATGATGATGATGATGATGATGATGATGATGATGATGATGATGATGATGATGATGATGATGATGATGATGATGATGATGATGATGATGATGATGATGCTGATGATGATGCTGATGCTGATGCGATGATGACGATGATGATGATGATGCTGATGCTGCTGCTGCTGCTGCTGCTGATGATGATGATGATGATGATGATGATGATGATGATGATGATGATGAGAGGAGGGAGGGGGCAGCGGGAGGAGGAGTGAACGCGGGGCGCTGTCTCTTCAAAACGAGGACCCAACACCATAGGATGGTTGGGGAGAATCGTCCCCAGACTATTTTTTTGACTATTCTTGAATATTCCCCCTGTAGAGGGACAGGCCCGACTTCACGTCAGGCACCTGTCTCTTTCCATCCTCCATCCCTTCCCTGCCTCCTCCGAATCCCTCCTGCTCATCCTGCTCCTTATGCTTCCCCTTTCTCCTCTCCCTCTCCCCGCCCATCCTCCCCTTCCCCCCTCCTCGTCTTCCTCTTCCTCCAACTGTTCCTCGTCCTCGTCCTCCCCGTCCCCCTCCCTCTCTGCCTCCTCCTTCTCCTCCTCCTTCTTCCGAGGCTCCGCACTTCCGAGGCCTGGTTCCCTTGTAAAAACAATAGATCCCCGCTCTCGAGGCCACGATCCCTGGCAAAACATGTGGATCCCGAGGCCACGAATCCTGGTAACAAAACTCGCCGGCCCAACGGACCAGAAACATGCTAAGATCTCCGGTAAAACTGGTCCAGAATATTTCTACTTCTCGCGCGCGGGGCGCCCCTGGGGGCCCCCGGACGAGACGTACCCTGGCAAGGTTCCGGCCGACTCCAGGCAAGGTCCCAGCAGACTCCTGGCAAGGTCTGCCCAAGGATTCCGGAACTCCCCGGGGCGGTTTCCCGCACCCTCAGGGCGCTCCGAGAGGCCTCAAGAGGCCCCCGAGATGGTCCCGAGAGGGCTCCGAGTCGCCGACCGATCGGTCCAAGACGCCCAAGACCGCCTCCACGCGGCCGCAGACGCCTCGAGGACGCCTATTGACGCCTCGAAGAAGCTTCTCCGGAGGGCCCCCAGACAGACCATTCACTTCCCTTTGTTTTTTGAAGGATTTTGGCGTTCTCACCTGTTCGGCTTCCCGACGCTCCAGGACAGCCCAAGAGGCCCTCAACATCGCCCCCAAACGAGGGCTTCCAGAAGGTCCCAAGACGGCCCAAGATGCCGCCAAGACGGCCAACAGGCCTCCAAGACAGCTCAATATGCCCCCAGGACTGTCCCAAGAGGGAGCCCAGACGGGGAACCCGAACGGACATTTCGAGCCCAGCTTTTAATATCGATCCAAAACAGCCCAAGAGACCTCCAAGAGGGCCTCACAGCAGCCCAACAGGGCCGCAGGACGGTCCCAAAAGGCCCTGGAGCCCTCCAAGACCGCCTTGGAAAGACTCCCAAGAGGCGCTCAAGAGGGACCCAGGACACACGAATCATTCATTTCCCTCTGGTTTTTGGAGGATTTGGCGTTCTCACCTGTTCGGCTTCCCGACGCTCCAGGACAGCCCAAGAGGCCCTCAACATCGCCCCCAGACGGCCCGAGAAAGCTTCAACGTGGTCCCAAGACGGCCCAAGATGGCCTCAAGACGGCCCAACAGGCCTCCAAGACAGCCCAAGATGGCCCCCGGGACTGCCCCAAGGGGGAGCCCAGACGGGGAACCCGAATGGACATTTCGAGCCCAGCCTCCAAAATTGATCCAAAACAACCCGAAGGACCTCCAAGAGGCCCCCCAAAGGCTCCCGTGACGCCGCAGGAGGTCCCAGCAATACAGCCAAGATGCCCCCGAGAGCCCTCCCCAGAGACCCCACAAATGCCCCAAGAAGCCATCAAGAGGCCTCCTCCTCATCCTCATCCTCCCCTCGTCCTCCTCCTCCTCCTTCTCCTCCTCCTCCTCCTCCTACTTCTGCCCTCCCTCGCTCACCAAAAGCACGCCAACATAAAGCAACACTGATACAACATGGGCCAGCGGAATGAGCGCAGCGATTCATCAATCGATCCGCGCTCCCGAGCTTTCAAGACGGCCGAGGCAGGCAGCCCAGGCCCCCAAGATGGTCCACTCTGCCTCCAAGACGGCCCAAGATGGTCCCAAAGCGGCCCCAGCCCAAGACGGCCCAAGATGGCCAGAAGCGGACCCCCAGTAGGGCCTGAACATGCAAAACCCATAGATTTCCCGTCTTTGCTTGAAAAATCAATGTTTGAGCGTCTTCGCATTTTCGGGCTTCTTTGAGTCCCAGACGTCCCTAGAAGCCTCCAAGGTTGACCCAAGATGGCCCAGGAGGCCGCACAATTCCAAACAAATCATCCAAGACTGTCACAAGGCAGCCCACGGGGGCCCCTGGACGGCCAAGGTCGGCCCACGAGAGCCCCAAGCTGGCCCAGGAGGGTCTCTGAGGGACCCGCGACGGGTTGGAGAACCCCTCGAAGGCCCAAGACAGCCCAACAACGGTCGCACGAGACCCCCCAGGCGGCCCCTGGGCCCTAGGCGGCCCAAGGAGGTCCAAGAGACTCCGAAAACTGCCCCACAAGAGCCTCAGACATGACGGAAGGAGGAAGAGGGGGAGGGGGAGGGGGAGGGGGAGGGGGAGGAGGAGGAGGAGGAGGAGGAGGAGGAGGAGGAGGAGGAGGAGGAGGAGGAGGAGCAGGAGGAGGAGGAGCAGGAGGAGGAGGAGCAGGAGGAGGAGGAAGAGGAGGAAGGCGACGCATACGAGAAGAACATCGCCGACACGACGCGGAAGAATGTGCCACTCGTTGTGGCCCTCCCAAGATCTCGAAAACACGAGGTGTCACGCGTGACGGCCTCCTACGCGCCCCCCCTGGAACGATGGCGGGATCCGCCGCGGGCAGCTGGAAATCTTCCCTCCTGTCGCCCCACCAAACGCGTCCGTAGGCCAAGCTGGGCGTTTCGCTTGAGACTTCTTTGCAATTCACCATCCTGGAACCGAGAAGATCAAGCAATCACACGGGTGGTTTTAGAAATATGGCTATCACTAAAGCGCCGCGCGGACTCGTGATAACACCTTGCAGCAGTTACGATAGTGGAGGGCAGGTAGTTTTCAACATTCAATTATCCCTCGCGCCGAGCGTATGCGTATCTTTTTGAGCTTGCAACAAGTACTAGGATGGAGGGCCGTCGTTTTCAAAATTTGGCTCCCGCCTTAACGCCCCGCATATTCGTCCAACAAACTTGGAGTAAGAACAAATATTGAGGACGGTTCGTTTTCAGAATGCGGACATCGTGTACCTTCCCTTACATCCATGACGCGATGCTCCGACATGCGCAGCAATTACACGGGTGTAGCGCCGCTCGTTTTCAAGATTGTGCTATCGCTGAATACGTCCGCACATATTGCGTCCTGAATCTCACCAACCCTTTGGGCTAAGGTGGCCTGACGATATCTTCCTGTCCTGTTCCATAAGCCTCTTCCTTTCTGGGAGGCTGACTTGCCCCCCTCTCTCCCTCTGAGTATTTTCGGGGAAGGGTCGCGAAGCGTCAGGAAGCCCTAGATTGCTCCAACTGAACATCTTCTTAGGGTGGAGGGCTCAAGGTGAAATCCATATGGGCTCTTGCACCTCGAGAAACAATCCGTCTTGTGATTCACCTCTTGCAGGTTCAAGCCTCGAGCATCCATCGAAACGGCATTCCAGATTTCACCCTTGGCCCTCCACCCAAAGAAAATGCTCGATCCAAAAGGGCGTCCAATGCTCCAAGATGGCTCAAGACAGCCGGCGATGGTTCACGATAGCCTCCGACCTGCCTCCAAAAGGCCCGACGAGGGCCACCAGACGATCCCAAGCTCTCTCGGAGCCCCCTCAGGACCCCCAATAGCCCAACATCCTTAACAAAAACACCGAGGGATCAATGACGTGTGCCTTCTCGCTTTTTCGCCTCCGATGCGCTTTTGAGGCCTCAAGATGGGTCCAACATGGTTAAAAAGAGGCCAAAGAGGGCCCCCAAAGCGCTCCACGAGGCGATCTTGTTGGCGCTGGGGGGGAACCAAACGTTACGCCCCACTCTTTTGACCGATTGCCTCCGAGATGGCCCCAAGGTGCCCTCAAGGGACCCACAAGAGACCCCCAAGAGGGCCCTAAGACTCCCCAAACGAGCCCCAAGTGGAGACCCAAGGGGGCTCCAAGAGGCGATTTTGAAAGCTCTGTCCACGTCCTCGTTTTCCTCCTCCTCCTCCTCCTCCTTCCTCCTCGCCCTCGTCCTCGTCCTTGCCCTTATCGTCGTCCTTTTCCTTTTGCCCCTGCTCCTCGTCGTCGTGGTCGTCGCAGTCGTCGTCGGCTTCCTCCTCCTACTTCTCCTCCTTCCCTCGCTCACACGCAGGCGCCAGGGATCCAGGGATGGCACGAGAAGGCCCTCCAAAGCCACACCCTTGCTCCAAAAAATCTCCCTGTTCACCTTGGTTGCCCGCTTCGATTCACCACATGTATATCTTCGCCCTTTTCCGTCAACTCTCATGAACACAGCTTCCGAATGGGGTGGTGGGGGTACGCGAAGCGCGACTCATTCTCAATAGTGCAGCATTTACGAGGGTGGAGAGGCACTCCTTTTCAAAAGGGGACTATCGCTGCACACTTCGTCGAACTTGATCATCGCAGCTCTTTGCGCGCTTGTAACTCGAACAACGGATGGCGAATCCTTTTTTTATAGAGCACGGCCTCACCCGAATGGCAGGACCACTGGGAGCTCGTCATTCCAGGAGGGCGCATCCCGCAATTGAGAGGCGTACTCACAGGAACGGACGGGGATGGCACCTGGGACGGGAGGGCGTGCTGCAGCATCGCTGACGCATCCTGGGTTCACCCTGGTCCTCCTGGCGATGATGCAGCCCGCGGACAGCTGTCCCTCCCACTGCCCGCCCCATCCCCCCCTTCTGTTCCAAGGACCCTGGCGGGCGCGAGGGCGTCCTGGCCGATCGGCTCTGCGAACCCGATGCGGGAGTTCCCAAAGTCCATGACGGTGACGAAGTGCTCCAGGAAGGGGCCGCCCAGCACCTGGAGGGGTCGGGCACAGACGCGGGGGGGGGATGGAGTGATTATGGGTACAAGGGGGGGGTGGCAGGGAGGAGGAGTGATGATGACGATGCCGCCGCTGCCGATGATACTGATACTGATGATGATGATGCTGATGATGATGATGATGTTGATGATGATGATGATGATGATGATGATGATGATGGGATGATGATGATGATGGTGATGCTGATGATGATGGGTGAGGAGGATGAGGATGATAGTGCTGATGATGAGGATGATGAGGATGATTATGCTGCTGATGATGATGAGGATGCTGGTGATGACAATGCTGCCGATTGAGATGGTGATAATGATGCGGATGATGATAATGATGATGGTGATGGTGTCAATGATAGTGACCATGATAATGATACGAATAAGTAGGATGGTGCTGTTGTTGATGGTGATGGTGTTGCTGCTGATGATTATTGTGACGATGACGATGCCGACGGCGACGATGGTGATGATGCAGCTGATGATGCTAATGCTGATGCTGATGCTGATGCTGCTGCTGCTGCTGCTGCTGCTGATGATGATGATGATGATGATGATGATGATGATGATGATGATGATGATGATGATTCTGATCCCCTTCCAGGTCCGCGAGCGTCGAAAACGCTTCGCCCACTTCGCTGCGCAGCCAGACCAGGGGCGGCAGCCGCGCGACAACTGCACCAGCGGACCCCGGCGCAGCTGGCCACGAAAACAAACCCTGACAGCCAAAACGAATCGCCCCCCGTCTTGCCCCATAAGGCCAGCAAAAACCTCGACAGGGGGCCCGCCCCCGGCACAGGCCCAACGCAAATAGGCCGAGCACCCCCACCCCAAAGACGCGCCCCCCGCCAACCACACGGGGTCGACGCGGCCAAGATTTCGAGCGGACCGGCCGCCGCAACTTGAATTCGCGTGGGTGCTGCTCACCGCGTAGGGACAAACCTGCTGCGGCGCCTCCTCGCTACCACAATTCGCTCACCCATCCATCCCGCCTGCGACGGGTGCAATCCTCTGCAAATGGCGTAGAGCACCTTCTGGCGATCCACGGCCCTGCGCGGGCACGGCCCCGTGCGGTTCATGACCCTGGCTGACGCCGCGTGGTGCCCGCAGATTGAGCAGTGGCACCCGCGGATTCAGCAGGACACCCTCCGGCCCGCCGAATTGAGAACGTGGGAGGGCACGGCGACCTCGTCGTAGGTTCCACCTCCTCTGCAGCACCTCTTGCCGCTGGGACCTCCGCCTGCTCGCCTAGCCGGCTGCCGCGCCCGCGTTCGCGAGCACGTCCTCTGCCTGTGCCTCCACGCGCTCCACGCGCGTGCTGCGGGGCAGCACTTTTGAGCTGCTTCCTCGGTTTCTGGCGCCGCGACTAATTCTTATGCCGTTCCAAACGCTCCTCCAACAGCATTCTGGTCCTCTAATTACCTTGCTCCGCTGGCTGCGCGACAACTGCGCCGTCGCCGCTCCGGCAGACGCCGCCACGATGGCTGCTGCCGCGTTCTTTCGCCCTACCATCTCTTCACCCCCACTGGCTTGAGTTGGCCCCCCGCTCATCTCATCCATCGCCGCTGTCGCTGCTCGTCCGCCCTGAATGGTCACCCCATTGCTCACGCAACTCCAGCGGCTCAACCTAGCGCCCGAGTCCGCGTTGGCCGCGCCATGGACGTCGCGCGCTCTGCTCAGGCACGTCACGCCCTGTACCTCGCGCTCTGCGTTGGGCCCCCCTTCTGCGCTGTGGCTGGGCGCAGCGGATGGTTCCCAGCCCTGGCGCATCGCGGCCGTCCGTCGCCCGGATCGAGGCGTCTCCTACCTGCGTGGCCCCCCCGATCCAAGCCGACACCTCCTTCGCCAGGTCGACCGCTACCTGGGGGTTGTCCAAACTTTCCTGCGCGATGCCGCGGGCGTGTGCCTCCTCTTTCGCGCGGAAGTCTGCCCTGGCAGACCTTGCCCGTCGCCTGTCCGACACGCCCCTCGCGGACACCGTGCTCCGAGATGTGGGCCTTGACCTTGGCCGCTCCGATGTTCTGCTCGCCGCCCACTCGGAGCGCCGCCCTTTGCCGTGCCCCCGTGCGTCGCGGACCCATCGCCGAGTCTGTGCTCGTGGCGATCGGCCGCGGACTGTTCTGGAGGGTCACGACTGCCGCCCGCAGTTCCCCAGCTCCGCTGACTTGTGGAAGCGGCGAGGGCGCGCTGCCCTACTGACCGGTTCGTCAGGCGTCGTTCGCCTGCGTCGACGCTGCCGCTTTCCCTGGTGCATGTGGCTCATCCGTCCTGGAATACCTCACTCGCCGTGGCCGGCGCAGGGTAGCTGAGCGCCGCGCAACGGCCGGGCGCCCTGCCAAGCAGCGCGCGCGCCACCCGGCCTCCTCCCACCGCTGCAGCCTCGCTTCCGTCCGAAAGACTGCTTCGTACCCGAAGTCAGTCGCTGACAGCGGGCCGCTTTGCGTCGTCTTCCGCGCGCAGGGGATCCACTGGCCTGGCCAATGCGGAATGCCTGTCCCGCTGCCTTGGCCTGCATCTGTTCTGTGACCGCCGGCGCCCCCGTCTCGGCGCCGCAGCCCCACCGCAGGTTGCGCGCCTCGACCGACTGTCTGAGCTCGCCCAGTTGATGATCTTGACCGGGGCCTTTCTCAGGCTGTTCGACGTCGCCGTCGCCGCCGACTGTGTCCGCGACGCGATGCAGCCCGCGCCGTGCTCCAGACCCAAGATAATGCGCCTGGCTGCCTACGAGGTAGTGGGCGCCCACCTGAGACCGCCCGCCATGCGCAGCGAGCAGTTGTCAAACGTGATGGCCTCGCTCACTTCCTCCAGGCAGCTCCCGCGTTCCCCCTCGAGCATCGTCGCGGCCCATCTGTGGGCGCGCCCCGCCCGACTGCGCCCTGCCATGGGCCGCCTCGCGAGCTCGCGGGCGGACGCGCTGACGGCCCCGTCGACGATGATGCGCCTGGCCCCCCCGTGCACGCGCAAGGCCTCCCGCGTGATCTGCTCCGGGCAGTCCGTGTCCAGCGCCCTCTGATGCGCCGCGGCGAGGGGGGCCACCTCGCAAGCATTTCGCGGGTCCAGCTGCGCGCTGTCGACGTCGAGGCGCCGCGCTCAGCCTCGTTGCGCAGGGCTTGCCACCGCGCTGCATCTGCGGTTTGCCGCCGCGCCCCCCCCAGAATTGGCGGGCGTTTCGTCGGGGATCTCCGCCTCCCGCCGCCTGGCTTCCAGTCGCCTCGCTCGCGCCCGCCGCCCGGGGGGCCGCCGCGAGAGGCCCGCGGACCTCCGGCCGCCGCTCTCCTCCGCCAGCGTGACGACCGAGGAGCAGGCGGTCACCGCCGGCAATGCGCCCGCCGCCTCCGCCGCCATGCCGACGAAAATGAGCGCCTTCATCAAGCGGCCGGCGCTTAGCCCCGTTGCCAAGCCGAGCGTTTTCGCAACACTTCGAGCTTCTTCGCTCTGGCCCTCCTGGGCGGGGCTCCAATTGGCGCCCTCGCTCTTGCTTTGCCGGGCGCGCTCAGCGCCGCCGTGGGCCCGTGCTGGCAGATCCCAAGCCATCCTTATGCGTCCAGACCTCGCCGACCCACTGCGCCGCGACTGCGTGAGCTCTCCCGTGGCATCTGCTGAAGCTACCTGGCTCTCCCAGCTCAGCTGGGGGCCCGGCCCTTGCACCGCGCCTGAATGAACGGGCCCTCTTGCCGCCGACTTCGAGCGGTGACCTGATCCCCTCGCAGAGCTCCCAGCGGCGCTTGCGCGCGAGCTTCGCGTTGAGGCGCTCCGCCTCCTGGCGCGCCTTCTCGATCCACCCCGCTCTGATGCAGCGCGGCGCGTCCCGCGCCGCGCCCGGCCTGGCCCCCCACCTGGCTGGCGTTTCGCCAAACGCCGCTCCAGGCCATCTGCCAGCAGCTCCCCCAGCCGCGAGGGCCAGCGGTTGGCCGCCGCCAGCGGGCGCCCAGCCTCAGCGCGCGCCTTGGGCCCCGAGGTGCCGCGCAACTTGCCCCCGCCCCCGTCCGGGCAGCTTCCAATTGAAGCGGGGCGGCTCGCCTCTGCCCGCGTGGCGGTCCGAGCCCTTCATGTCTCACTGGTCCTGTGCACCTTGACCAACTCCACCTCGATCCTTGCCATGGGGCGCATGTGCGCCTCTCCAGCGTCTCCAATGAGTCCGCCTCATCTCGCGCTTCCGATGCCTTGTTCGGCGCGGGGGCGGCGGATGCAGAGGCCCCGTCGGCCTCCCGGCAGGGGTGGCCAAGGGCATCGCCGGCGCCCTGCCTCTCGGCCCTCGCCCGTGGGCCCCGGGCCGGAGCTTCGCCGCCGATTGTGCTCTCAAAGGGCCCTCCAGCACCGCGCGACCCTCGAACCTGTGCAGGATGTCCTTGGACGCGACGAAAAATCGCGGGCGCGGCGACCTCTCCGCGCTGCAGGGGCAGGCGCCCGCGTTCTCATCGTTGCAAGCCACCGCGTCCCTGATGGGCGCGAGCCACGCCTGCGGGTTTTCCTCGCCGCAGGGGGGGGGGCTTCCATCGAGGGCTTTGCGGAGCAGGAGGGCGGCAGCCTTACCAAGAACATTAGTAGAGCGATCCAGGGAAGCTTGATCGGCAGACGAAAAATTAGGCAAACCGTGCACATGCTGAGGCGAGCGGATAGCATGCGGCAGGCGAGACCAGGGCGGTGCCCCCCTCGCTCTGGAATGCCCCTCACACGGCGTGGCAGAAAACAGCGCCATGACCTGCCCGCTATTGATCCAGCCGACCAGGAGCGCCACGACGTCGCCATGCAGCAGGTCGAACTCCTCGCCTTGGCTGAGATCGGTGGTGATGGCAGCGCAGCCTCGCCTCCGCACTGCTGTGGCTAGACCGCTCTGACCGCGAAAGATGTCTAGGGGAACTGGGGAACCCGCGAAACGACGGCAGGCCAGCGCCTCCAGAAGAGCTCCGTGAACACGGCGGCAGCGCCATGATAGCCGGCTATCACGGCGCGGTGCGTAGGCTCCGGAACGGCATGCAGCTGTCGGGTCAGTCGGGGGTGCCCCTCGTATCTCATGACCGAGGTGGAGGACTTCCAGAATCCTCTTGCCTGGACGTCGCGGGCCGACCGGCAGTTGGTGGCCCGGTCGTGCGGGGCGCCTCCTTGCCGAAGGCTGTGTAGAGTGGGGCGCGGGCTGCCGACGTCTCCGCTGCCGCCTGGAAGCGCGCCCGGGCCTCCGTGTAGGAGAAGGGGAACAGGGGGCCGCCGTCCCCGGCCTAGCGCTTGACCTGCAGCACCAGGGGCACCGAGAACTGATGGCGAGGGGGGTCCAACAAGCAGCTCACGTCTAAAGCCCCGTCTTGGTCGGCGTTTCCTGCTCGGAGGGCCGCGCCAGGAAGGAGAGGTGACGCGCTGGCCCCGGGCCGCCTGGCAGCCCGGGCAACGCCTCGTACCCTCGCAGCGAGAGCCCTTCGGCGGGGCGCCAGTCGGCCTCGAAGGACACCCACGCGAACAGAGCCATGAGCAGTTCGCCCTCTGCAGCCAGCCGCGCAGCGATGGCCGCCATGCGCTCGATGGGCAAGGGCGGCCGGGAGGCTGGAGGCTGTCGTGCGCGCCAGCCCGCCAGGGCAGCGGATGCGCACGGCGGCGCCTGGGCCGCGGGGCGGCCAACGTGCGGGTTGGCCCACAGCACGGCCGCGACCGACTTGATGGCCATGCTCAGGGTCACGTCGCGGCCCAGCTGATCCTCCAGGTAGTCGACCAGGATGGCGCCCCACTGCTCGCCGTTCAACTTCGGCAGCGTGACGACGCTCAGCCAGGTGGCCAGCGCCAGCAGCTGCTGAGAGTAGGTGAAACGCGTCTTGGCCTGCACTCGCTTGGCCTGCAATGGGGTCAGCCAGGGGGCCAGCTCCCGGATCTCGGGTGAGGCCTGGGGGGGCCTGCACGGCCCGCGCCTCCTCTTGGGTCGCGGCGCTGGCAACCCCTTCGAAGCGGCCCTGGCAGGCGCCGCCGGGGGCGTGGTAGTGGTGGCTGCCACTGATGCCGCCAAGACCCGGCGGCTCAGGACGCGTTGCGAGGTGAAGTCCATCTCCCCGCGGTTGGTCGTGGCCATGGTGTTCGAAATACTGCAAACGCTCGCGAACCAAAAGACTACGCTGATGAGATGGTTGGAACCGACGTGAAAGCTGATCGGCAGGATTCCATTCAGATGGTAACCAGCGATGGTGTACAGTCATGTTTCCCGTAAGGCAATAGGTAGCATTCACAAGGCATCATAAGTTCATGTAATAGCTTGTAGCCCTCCCCTTAGCGAAGTTGAAGATGGACCCCAGATTGTCGCCCATGAGCAGATGATGATGACGGTTAGACTCTCCGCGACGCGATAGAGACTTGACGTGTTGCTCTCGAGGAGGATGATGTGACGACGCTTTTCTCCACCTTCTTGCAGTGACCACCTTCCGCCGAGTTCCCGCAAGCAGCGCGTGGGGCAGATCCTCGAAGCCGCCGCCGGCGGCTCGCTCGGGTCCGAGCGCCCTGTCACTGCGCGGCCCTCGAACCGCCCAAGGCCCGCGCAGCCTCGAGCGTTCGCTCCAGGCCCCCGCGCCCTGCGCGACGTCCTCTGGCCTGAAGGCGGCTGTCGCGCCGAAGCCCCGGGGTGGCCGCGTCGTAGCAGTGGACCTCGGGGTGCCAGGGGAATTGAAGGTTAACTTCCACCAACTCGAATCCGAAGAATGTCGGTGCGTCGGTAGCCGGGTCGATGGACGAGACAACCCCCGCGCGGGCAAGAGCGGCCTGCATGCTGTTGACCTGGTCCTGGGCCAGCGTGGCGTCGGTGGACCAGCGGCCGAATTGTCGATGTAGAGGGCGTTCGCACCCTCGCCGACCCCGATCTTCACAGCCTTCATCTTGTCGACGACCCAGGGCAGGCAAGTCGGGGCCTTCCCCAACTGACGGAGATGCGCCCGTTGCATGATGTAGGTGGCCCAGCTTCAGCCCATGGGAACAACTCGCGCGCGACAGAAGGCCGGCTGTGAGCCCGAGACGTTCAGGCGCTGCTGCCAAGTCTTGTCAAGAAAACGAACCTCCACGGGCATGGGGCCGAACAGGTGGCGGTGCGCTTCGGGCAGGGCGTACTGGTAGAAGCAGCGCTCTACGTGGCCCCCCGCCATATAAAGCTGACTTCCTGGTGGAATGCTCATCGCCGCCAGCGACTCTCCAGATGGCAGTGAACAGGAGAGCGGAGTATGGCACCCATAGTTGGCCCGTCTCGCATCGAAAATCAAGCGAAGCTCCCCCGATTTCTTGGGGGCAAAGAACATCCCAACCTCCTCGGAGCTGGCCCCGACCTCGACGATGCCGGCGCTCAGGAGGCTAGAGAGGAAGAGGCCATAGTCACGCCCATGCTGGCGGAGCGCGGGGTCGCATGCAACCTTGGCCGCAGCATCGCTCAAAATAAAGTCTCGCTGAGCATCCGGACGCGAAGCTTGCTCAGGAGTGTCCAGCATGGACTGCAGCTCGGAGTCCGCCACGGAGCGATGGCCAACCCGACCTCCGCCGAGCTGCGGCAGCGCCGCGGCGCCGCGCTGGAATCAGCCAACGGCGCCTGCGGCCGTCTCGCCGGAGTAATCGCTATCGCCACCGCGGAGCATCTCATGCGCCCCCGCGGGTGTGGGATCTTCAGGAGGTGGGCGGCGAGTGGCGCAGGCATGCTGCGGGCAAGGTGCTGTATGGCAGACCGCTGGGCCGCCGAACATCTCGCTGCCGAAGAATGGGCCTGTCCAGAACCGAGTTCACCAAGAGCAGCGAGACCATCTCGAAGCCAAACTTCCTGAGAACGCCTGTGACGAGCACGACGCACTTGGCCGACCGAAGCGGCGACCGCGTCGCCAAGGAGAACGTCGTTGAGAGCCCGACCACCAGGAAAAGGCAGAATATGCCGCTCTTGAAGATCAGCACAGCTGTGATCCGAGCTCCTGCCATAGGTACACCGCTGCAGGAACGCTCCCCATGCAAGGCAGGCCGCTGGCGGGCGCTGACCCAGGGGCCGCCCGCGTGGTGGGGGCCACTTGCGGGGGGCCGTTGCGGCCCTTGGCCTTGGCCGCCGCCCCGATGTTCTCGCCGCCGCCCTCGTCCGCCTGATCGCCCGACCCAGCCGCCAAGCGACGCTCCTTGCGGCGCTTGCGCCTTGCGCCTCTCCACGAAGCTCGCCGAGCGAACGGCCATCTCCGCGGCCACTCAGGACTGGGGCTCGGGGCGCACTAGCGCGACGCCGCGTGATTTGTGGGCGCCCAAGAAGATGCGCCGCTCGTCGACCCCCTCGGCAGCGGATGCCCCAGCCTCGCGCTCGAGCAGCGCGTGCGAGTACACCTCCTCCCACAGCTGATACCTCCGGCTGATGTGCTCGCCGATGAAGAAGCTGCCGAAGCCGAGGAAGTCGTGGCACAAGGCCCATTCCAGCAGCTCGCTCAAGAACAGGTGTTCGTCCACGCCGTTGTCTGACATGCTGAGACCGATGGTGCTCCGCCACCAATAGTTTTGCTGGGTTGGCGTCGTGCCCGTCTCTGCCAGGGCGCGGCACAACCGCGCAATGGTGCGAGGGCCGGCGACGCGCCAGTCGCTGATCGTGGCGGAGTCCAGCTGCTTGCACACGTCGGGGAAGACCGCTTCCCGCCTGCCCGCGGAATCCATGCGCACGGTCAGCGTGCGGACGTCCTGGTCCCCGCCGTCGGCAACCGTGCCGTTCGTGAAGGAGTCGGCCCAGGCGATGGCCATGTACTGGCTCTCGGAAATCGTGATGATGCCGCGACCGCCGTACAGGAACCGCTGTCCTGGGAGCTCGCTGACGTCCTCGCCGACGCGCTTGCCGAAGCGCGTTTCGAAAGCGACCCAACGCACCGGTGGTCCATCGCCCGGAGGGGCAGCTGGGCTTGGGGCCCAGGCCGCGGCCGGCGCAGGGGACAGCGCGGCGGGGGCGGGCGCCAAGCTTGGCGCAGGCGGCCCGGGCGCCGCCCCCCTGGCCCCGGCGCAGCGCCGCGCCCGACGGGGACGAAGCCGGCGACGCCCTGGAGGCGCGCAAGTTCTTCGCGGCCCTCCTGGATGAAGCGGGCCTTGTTGTCGTCCAGGTATTCGGCCTCGAAGCGGTACAGGGTGGCTGCTGCCGGCAACCTGCCACTGAACCCGCCCCGCGGGCCAAGCAAGAAGACCTCGCCTCCAGAATCCAGCAGGTCCTCCTCGTACAGGTCGCCCTCCGGCGTAGCCACAAGGTACGAACATGGCAGCTCACCGGGCACGTTCTGCAGAATCAGCCGCTCGTGGTACAAGTCGGGGTCCACGTCGCACGATATCAGAAGGCGCTGACCCACTCGCAGTGATCGAAGGCTGGCCTCCACCGCTGGCACCGCTATCGACGATTTTGTGTTGAACTCCGACCCGTCCGCTCACCAAAAAGTGCAGCAAGATGGACGCGCAAAGGCAGATGCCACTCACGAAGCCGCTCAAGAAGGCCCACGAGACCGCAGGCTGCGGCGCCAGCTGCTGGGGCCCGCACCGGGCCAACTGGTCGCGGAGCACCGTGACGATCTCCGAATCAGCCTGGCTCGCGTAACAATGGCACTGGCAGCCGCGCCAGGCCGAGATGAGGGAAACGATACCTGGTGTGCAGGAAAGCCAAGCAGCACCAGATTGGAGAAGTTCCATAGATTGTGAAGTCCTGAATTAAGCTTGAAACCGAAACGGCAATGGCATTGTGCATTTGGTCCAGATCGTATTTCAGAATGTTCACAGAAAAAAAAACATCGACACCTGGTGCGACATTAACATCTCAGGCAATCACAATGCGCACTGCGCCTGCTGTAATGGTCGTTTCAGAGAGCAAGAGTGAGACAATGTACTTTTTGTTGGTCCTCGCTCCCCTGAGAGCGGCGGAGAGCAACGGACGACGAAGACGACGATGGCGGCGAAACTGACAGCGGGCGCTGTTGGGCAGGAGCGGACAACGTCCGCTGGGACGCCGACAGCGAGCACTGTTCAAAATTGGCGAGAACTGCTGATGATTTTTGTCCCCATTTTTCCTGTGCCCATCTCGGTCGCACTGGGAGAAGGAGCTCGAAAAGCACGAGGCCTGAGGAGACTGGAGGAACAATCGACCGCATGACCATTCGGCGGTGGACAAACCTCCTTTTAGTAAACCTCCCCGTAGTAAAACCGGCCTGGGACCGAAACCGACGGACCTGGACCCGCAAAAATAGCGACCGCGACGCCCTCTCGCGAACCGAAAACGGCCAATTCATCAATCGACGTGTCAGGGTAGGAGGTCTATCAACCTCCGACAATTTAAGAACCACGAGGGTCGACCCGTCCCCAACGAGATGGGCCCCTTCCTCGGCGGCCCGACTGTACACCGCTGCCGTTCCTTCGAGGAGGAGGGGGGCAGGCCCCGGACGAGCGTAGAGGCATCCCAAATGGGGTCCGAGGTAGCTCGTGTCGGAGGATCGCGCCGCATCGCGGATGCATCGGCGATGCATCGTCGACGTCGGCAACGCATCGGCGACGCCGGCGTGGAGAAAATCGGGCTCCGCATCGGCGATGAGGCGCGATCCTCCGACCCCATCTGCTGGGACCCCAATTGAGCGACGATCAAAAACGGGTCTTACGCGAGATGACGTAGTGACCTTACGCGGTCGCTTACGCGGGTCGCCGGCGCGGCACGCTACATTGGAAGTGAGTCGGCGCTTACGCGCGACCTTACATGGGCAGCTTACGGCAGGTTCTTGTCATGGAGGTTCAGGCGTTGGTTTCTGACACCGCGTGGATCGTTCAACCTTGAACGATCCGCGGTTATGCGATCGCCCGACCGCTCCATATAGGCCGGTTCTGGCCCACTGGCAGCATTCAACCTTGAACGCCCGCGGCGAAGTCGCCGCCAGTCGGCACAACGCAAACCTACCGTACGCGCCAGTGTCGGCGCAGACGACCCCGTTTCTTTGCGTCGCCCCTTCCCAAACATGCGACGCCCTGATTTTTCCAGGACGGCGTCCCTGGAAAACCAGACGCCTTCCCCAGGGCCGGTGTTTCATCGTGAGTCGTTTTTTTGACGGTCCCGGGGCCCGGCGAGGGCCCCCGAGGGCCGAACATAGTGAAAGACTTGCCGTCCCGCTCCTCCTCCTCCCCTTCCTCCTCCTCCTCCTCCTCCTCCTCCTCCTCCTCCTCCTCCTCCTCCTCCTCCTCCTCCTCCTCCTCCTCCTCCTCCTCCTCCTCCTCCTCCTCCTCCTCCTCCTCCTCCCCCTCCTGCGCCACGTCTCCATTTACCTCCGACGTCTTATCACGCATCACGTCACCCTCGAGGGCCGAGGCATCCAGGGTCGGCGGCACTGGCCGCAAGGCCCTAGCAATCGTGCAAGACTTGCCGTCCTGATGTTCCCACTACGACGCGATCGCGTCCTGGGCTTGGGGGCGGACCCGGCGCGCGGGAGGCCACGGGCGGCGGCGCGGGCGCGCACCCACAGGTCGCTCGGGGGCGCCGCGCCCGACAACCGGCGCCGCTCCGCCTGCCGGCGGCGTGGGCCCGGGGCGCCCTGCCCTCGGAGAGACGCCCCAGGCGCCCTCCTCCTCCTCCTCCTCGTCCTCCTCCTCCTCCTCCTCCTCCTCCTCCTCCCTTGCCCTCTCGTTCCCTCCCTCCCTCCCTCCCTCCCTGCCTCTCCTCCTTCCCCTTCCCCCCGCCCTCCTCTCCGCCGCCTGCCGCCGCCCATCGTCACTGCCGTCGACCTCCTCGCGCCTTCTCGTCGTTCGTCGCCCGTCCTCGTCCGTCGTCGACGTCGTCGTCGTCGCCGTCGCCGTCGTCGTCGCTGCCCGTCGTCGTCGTCGTCGTCGTCGTCGTCGCCGTCGCCGTGATGGTGGTCGTCGTCGTCGTCGTCGTCGTCGTCGTCGTCGTCGTCGTCGTGGTCGGCGCCGCCGTTGTCGTCGTCGTCGTCGTCGCCGTCATCGCGCCGCATCTCGTCGTCGTCGTCGTCGTCGTCCCCCGTCATCGTCACCGCCGATGGCCTCCACCCTCCGAGTTCGGGGATCTACTGACCCGGGTCAATCCAAACCCAGGTCAGTCGCGCCTTGCAGAGTCCTGCAAGATCCTGCAGGATCCCGCAGGATCCTGCGCCCCAGCCCAGGGGAAAGCGCACCCACCCCTGGCTCTGCAGGATCCCGCAAGATCTGGCGCTCAGGCTGGCCCCCGCTTGCATGGACCCCCGTCTCTTCAACCCCGACGTCCAGGCTCCTGCCCCCGCCGGCTGGGCCACACACCTCCCTTTCGCCCCCGCCGCTCCCGGTGCTCTGCCTCCACCGCTCCTGGTCGTCACGGCGGCTGTCACCCCGTGGCTGTCTGCCACCGCTGCTGCTGTGGCCGCCGTCGCCGAGCCAGTGCCTCCGTCGCCGCCCTCCTCTGCCGCTGCTGCTCCTGGTATTCCTCCTCCTCCCCCTCTTTGGGCCTGTGCGGTTGCTGACGCTCTGGCCTCCCTCTAAGTCCTCCTCCGTCCTCCCTTCGGCACCCCCTTTCCTTCTCCACCCCGCCCATCTGCCCACCCCCCACTCTCATTCTGCCCCACGCCCCCTTGCCCCCGCAACGTGCCCCCCAGAATCCCCGGAATGCCCCATCGCCTCTCCCCTCCCCCCTTGAGCTGCATCCAACCGATTTTTTTTTGTGATTTGAGCTCGCGAAGCACCAGCCACTGACCACCACGCGATGTCACCAGTCAGTCTGGATACCGGCGGCCGAGTTCACGCAGCTACGCGCTACCCGCCAGGCCCGAAACAAAAACCCTGGACTGTGGCAACGAAGCAGATGCATGTCACGGAGACGGTGCACGGAAATCCCGCCGCTGGTCTAGAACCAGCTTTCGGAAGAGGATGGGAGGGAGGAGGCGGGGGGAGAGAGGGAGGGAACACAACTGGCCGGTCGTCCGCTGGAGAAAGTAATTGCGCGTGCGTGCGTAGACCACAAACCCAGGGCATTGCCTGAGATGGTACCCGCACAGGAACCCCACACGAGACAAAAGCAGGCACCATCGAGCAGGGCCCCCCCGCCAAGAGAAAAGGGGACGAGCCAAATGGAGGAGCTCGAAGTGCCGTCGTTGCCAGCGCAGCGCAGGAGAAACAAGGAAGGGAAAAAGAGACGAGCAATAACAAAAAACGGAAACAAGAGGACGACGAGAGCGACAGGCAAGAACTATATCAAAACATTGAAGGCCGCACGAGGGAGGCACAGGGCCCGGGAAGCTCCGAGAGCGAACCGTCCCTGACGCCCCCAGGGGCGGTGGACGCCGCCCCCGCGGCTAGGGGGCAGCGACGGTAAGAAAAAACGAAGAACATGCAATGCAGAATTGTGACCGCATAGGGGAGGAGAAGCAACCTCGGAACGAACTCGCGAGGCTCGGCCGAATCGAAGTGGCGCTCAGAGCTCGAAGCCACGGTGGATCTGCGTCGCAGGCGTCATCCCCAGCATCCCAGTATGTACTGTCGCCGACACAGTATACGGTCTCCAGTGCCAGCTAGCAGCAACATTCACATGACGTCGTGACCCAATATTGGCCGCTCCCACAAGCCAAGCCGCAGCCCCCAGAAGGGTTCATTGTCACCACATGTGTCGTAGCAACCAGAGTCGTACGCGCCCGCCATCCGGTGGCCGTCCCGCGGTCGACAGTCGCATTTGTCATCAACGTCATCTGGTGGTTGCCGGTCGGGGACGTAGTCGGAGCCTGTGTGGTGTCAGGCTCCTGTGTGGCATCCTTGCTGGACTGGTTGACAACGCAATTTCGTTAGAATCGACAACCTTGGTACCATCCAAGTAGGCCATCCCCCGACCAGAGTTTTGAGTGTCTGCCGAAAGCGGTGCGGGAGTCGGCGAGCTGGTCGGTGCTGGAGTCGGCGACCTGGGCGGTATGAGTCGGTGATCTGGTCGATGCTGGAGGCGGCGAGTTGGTCGGTGCGGGAATCGGTGACCTGAGCGATGCTGGGGTCGGTGACCTGGTCGGCGAAGGGGCCGGCAAGCTGGTCGGCGCGGCGGTCGCTTCTGGATAGCGCCTTCGAAAGCTGGTCCCTGCGGGAGTCGGCGATCTGGTCGGCACGGGAGTCGGCGAGAGGGTCGGCGAGGGAGTCGGTGAGCAGGGCGGCGTGGGAGTCGGCGAGCTGGTTCCTGCGGGAGCCGGCGATCTGGACTGCGCTGGCTACGGCGATTTGGTCGGCCCGAGAGTCGGCGAGCTGGACCGTGCCAGAGTTGATGAGCTGGGGAACCCGGGAATCGGCGAGCAGGTCGGCGAGCAGGTCGGCCAGCGACTCGGTACGGGAGTCGGCGAGCTGGTCGGTGCTGGAGTCGGCGAGCTGGTCGGCATGAGAGTCGGTGATCTGGGCGATGCTGGAGCGGGCGAGTTGATCGGTGCGGGGATCGGTGACCTGAGCGGTGCTGGAGTCGGTGACCTGGTCGGCGAAGGAGCCCGCCAGCGATTCTGGTGTCTGTGCTGGTGTCGCGACTGGTGCCGGTGCTGGTGTCGCTGTAGGTGTCGATGCGGATGTCGACGCCCGTTTGAGTGCGAACGTCGAACGAAGTGCCGACGCAGGTGCGAGTGCTGGTGTCAATGACGGCGTCGATGCTGATGTCGGTGATGGTGGCGATGTTGGCGTCGACGACAATATTATGCTATCGGCCACCCAGCCGGGGCAGCACTGCGCACCGTGAGAGCAACACGCACGCGCCAAGTCCGTGACATTCAGGGGGGCAGGATTTGTCCGCCCTCCCCCTGCTGGAGACGGTGAGCGGGTCGGCGTGAGAGTCGGCGAGCTGGTCTGTGTGGGAGTCGGCGAACTGGTCTGCACCGGCTTCGGCGATTTGGTCGGCAAGGGAGTCTGCGAGCTGGACCGCGCCAGAGTTGATGAGCTGGGCAACACGGGAGTCGGCGAGCAGGTCGGCAAGGGGACGGCGAGCCCCTCGGTACGGGAGTCGGCGAGCTGGCCCGTGCTGGAGTCGGCAACCTGATCGGCATAAGAATCGGTGATCTGGTCGACGCTGGAGCCGGCGAGTAGGACGTTGCGGGAGTCGGTGAGCCGAGCAGTGCTGGAGTCGGTGACCTGGTCGGCGGAGGAGCCGGCGAGCTGGTCGGCGCGGTGGTCGTCTCTGGATAGCGCCTTCGAGAGCTGGTCCGTGCGGGAGTCGGCGATCTGGTCGGCGCGGGAGCCAGCGAGCGGGGCAGCGATGGAGTCGGTGAGCAGGACGGCGTGGGAACTGGCGAGCTGGTCCGTGCGGGGGTCGGCGCGCTGGTCAGCGCCGGCTTCGGCGATCTGGTCGGCACGGGAGTCGGCGAGCTGGACCGCGCCAGAGTAGATGAGCTGGGCGTTGCGGCAGCTGGCGAGCAGGTCGGCGAGGGAGTCGGCGAGCCCTTCGGTGCGGGAGTCGGCGAGCCGTGCGGCATGAAGGTCGGTGATCTGGTCGATGCTGCAGTCGGCGAGTATGTCGGTGCGGGAATCGGTGACCTGAACGATGCTGGGGTCGATGACCTGGGCGGCGAAGGAGCCGGCAAGCTGGTCGGCGCTGGTCCGTGCGGGAGTCGGCGATCTGGTCGGCGCGGGAGTCGGTGAGCGGGTCGGCAAAGGAGCCGGTGAACGGGACGGCGTGGGAGTCGGCGAGCTGGACCGTGTGCGAGCCGGCAAACTGGTCTGCGCCGGCTTCGGCGATCTGGTCGGCGATCTGGACTGCATCCTCCCGAACTGGTCTCCTCTTCCCTTTCCATCACCAACCGCTCCTCCTCCTCCTCCTCCTCCTCCTAATCCTCAACATTACCACCACCATGATCATGACCATGACCATGACCATGACCATGACCATGACCATGACCATGACCATGACCATGACCATGACCATGACCATGACCATGACCATGACCATCATCATCATCATCATCATCATCATCATCATCATCATCATCATCATCATCATCATCATCATCATCATCATCATCATCATCATCACCATCACCATCACCATCACCATCACCATCACCATCACCACCATGATCATCATCATCAGCAGCATCATCATCATCACAACCACCACAATCATCATCATCATCATCATCAGCATCAACATCATCACCACCACCAACAACAGCATCACCACCATCATCATCATCATCATCATCATCATCATCATCATCATCATCATCATCATCACCACCACCACCGCCACCTCAGCATCGTCATCATCGTCATAATCATCCTTATTACCATCATTATCGTCATCATCAGCATCATCATCTTACTCCTCCTCCTCCTCCTCCTCCTCCTTCTGCTCCTTCCCCTACTCCTTCTGCCTCCTCTTTTGCCTCTTCCGCCCCTACGTCTGCTGGGAAGTCCACCCGACTGCACGGCGCGGCCTCCTGCGCGCCGTCCGAACACTCGGTGCTGTTCCTGCGCCGCCAAAAGGGGGCTGCGTCGGGCAGGGAGCCGAGAGAAGGGGAGGCGGGAACGGAAGGGAGGTCCAGGGAGATCTGGGGAGGGGGGTGGGCACGGGGGGGGAGGGGGAGGAGGGGCGGAGGGGACGGAGAGTTTGAGAGAGATCGTGAGGGAGGGGAGGGGGGGAAACGGGACAGGGAAAAGTGAGGGGGGGGGAATGGGAAAGGGGACGGGGATGGATGCGGTTTCTTCACAGTATCGCGGCCCCCGCTCCCTCCTCAAACGGGCGCCACGTTTACCTTGCAAGCTGTGAACAACCATCCCATATTCCTCAGAGAAGTTGTGGGCAAGCTTCAGGCGGGCGAGGCTTGCTCGGGAAAGTGGCGGTGATACCTCGGGTGGGACTCATGCTGGTTGGGCATCTTGCGAGGAGGCCCCAGGCAGAGGCCACACATTACGAACAAAAACACGTGAGGAGGCTACTCATGCTTGTTCGAGGGCTCCTCGCCTCAACGGGTCAACCCCAACACTGACCGCCTTTACCTACAATCGCCAGAAACAAACGCAAACGGGCAGAATCAATCAACATCGTTTCAATAAACTGTATTGTATTCGAATGCGCGTCGCTTTGGGCTGCTTCGACACGGAATCGAAGTCGAATCGGTTCGGCTCCGTCAAGATGCACAACAACGCATGCAACCATCGAACCACATCGGATTGTCGGAATGTCGAAATCTAGCTGGGTCAAGCCGGCCGGTATCGATATCGAATTGGATCGAAACGGACCCTGAGCGAGTGTCCTCTTCAGTCCCTTCGCGTCCCAAACCAAAGTCGTCGTGCAGCTGGTGCCGTCGGGCTTCATCTCCACGATCTCGGGGCGACCCATGGGCAAGGCCATTGACCCAACGCCGCCGCCACTGCTGCAGCGCTGTCACCAGCAAAGCCACCACGGACCAGCAGCGTCCTATCGCCACCGCAACCATCGAGATCGCAACGTTCACCGCCAACGCCGCCACAATGAACTATCATGCTTTGCGGCGTCACCCTCCTGCGAGATGTCGCACTTACGTACATCGTCCACGCCGCCGAATCACTCTGTGATGAAATGCCCCCTAACCCAAGACTGTCGCCAGCGTGGCCCCATGGAATCTAATTGACTGACAAGATGATACGGTGTGTTGTGGAACATTGCGATACTCCGGGAATGTATCTGTGGCATGGATGCTTGCGATGACATTGAGGATCCACGTGTCTATGAGAGATCCTGATGACCCTGGGATGCGGTGGCAATTCAACCATGATATCCCCTGGTATGGCGCCTTCAAACCTGCATGGCACTTCCGAGATGGCGTGTGCTTGCTTGACTACCGTTTGGGACATCTGGGTACTTCCGCTGAATCATATGCCTTGCGAAGCGATGTATCACATCAAGGTGCCAGTAGGTGTTTGGGAGAGGCATGGTGAAAACATCGGGGCCGTGTCGTCGGGAACGCCGAGCGCCCATCCGACAAGAACATTGGCTCGCTCGGTGTAATGTTCGGACAAATCGCTCATGAGAACACCAACATCTCCTGGATAGTTCTCTTTCAACCCCATAGCCATGCTTGCTCATTGTACAGTCCACCCGTATAATGAGGACGCGCCATAAGGATGCAAGGGCTTTGGCAGGCCATGCCGACACTCTGCGGGCGTGGCGCGGCCAGCGAACGCGGCCAAGGATGGGCCGAAGGGAAAGGATGCAAGGGAAACCTTGGAAAGTCGCTCATCCTGACTGTGCGGGTTGACTGTGCTGTGCCTGCCTACGCCACGCGAGGCCAAACCTGCCGCACGTGTGGCAGATTATTCCAGTGCCTGTGTCCCGAGCACTTGCCAGGACCCTATGGCCACACTTCAGCCCGAGTAATGCGAGGATTGCTTCACATACATCGCCATGACTACCAACTCCTACATTAATCCCCCACCCTGCCCGCTGGCACGTTGAGGCGTGAAAGAATGCCAAGTACTGCCTGGCAGGCCTTCTGTAGTCTTCTACTGGACCCCCCTCCCTGCGGGCCACGCCCAGTCGCATGCAACCCCCCTCGCCCCAAGGGTCCCTGGGCGGCCACGGCGCCTCCCTGGGGCTCTCCAAGGCTTCCGAGAAGGCTCAGAAAGGCGACCACGGTCTCGAAGATCGCCCAACATGCTTCCAAGGCGGCCAAACATGGCTCCAAGATGCCCCGAAATGTCTCCACAACGGCCCAAGATGGCCTCAAGCTGTTTCAATGAGGCTCTCACGACGGCTCCAGCTCCAAGAGAGCACTCCGGAGGGCTCGAAGACGCAACCATTCGTTTTTGCTTGGGGATTGCATGAATTTGGTGGTTCTCACCTTTCTGGGCTTCCGCCAAGTCAAGACGGCCTGGGAGGCCTGCATGATTCCCTCAAAACGGGCCAAGAGGCGGGGGCCCCGCGACGACTCAAGCGAGCCCCAAGACGGCCTACCATCGCTCTCCGAGGCGGCATGATGGCCACATGCGACAGCCTTCCTCTTCCTCCTCCTCCTCGTTATTTTCGCCCTCGCCATCGTAATCATCATCACCACCACCACCATCACCCTCGTCCTTCGAACAATCGCACCCCGACATACTGGGCTGGCACGGTGCCGGGACTTGCCGCAGGTAACTGGATACCATCGCTCCCAAACACCACCACCAGAAAATACCCATACAACCACATGCGGTGCTGATGCGGCAAACCGATGTCCCATGCCTCTTCCATCAGGATCCGCACGCCGTGGTGCAGGCCGCCGCGAGACATTCCAAGGCATCGATGAGCATGTAAAAAAAACAAATGATCCTGTGAGCGAGCAACGAACGACATATGTACATGTATGCCCTCCGCGGTCTTGCGTGCACGAACCTCCGCGTTCAAGCGCACTCCAGCGGAAGCCACGCGCGTACGTGTACATATGTTGTTGGCCTATGGTCCTGGTCCGAAGCTCTGCCCTGGTTGCGCCTGGCAATCCCCAGAGTGCGGGGACCCTCCTCTCCGCCTGTGTACCGTGCCCCAATCTCGGCTCCTCGCCTTTCGCCCCTTCCTGGAACCCAACCGTATCTCTCCGCTGGCGACACGCATGCACAGCACGGACAGCGTGGTGCCAAGAGGCGCGAGCGTCTTCCGAAAGGGAACTCTCAGTGCAGCGGATTCCGCGGCTAGTGGTCTTGGCTGCGCCTCACGCCAGAGCACGAAGCAGCTCTGCAGCCCAGTCGCTTACGCGAAGGCAGGCTGAGGATCGACTCGACTGCGGATGCGTCGGGCCCCGCGGCCGATCCAACGCCGAAAGCGCTCATCTCCGTTCCGAAGCGCTCTGCAACAACGCATCCTCATACTGACCCTTGCGGATCTCTGGCCACGCTGCGGCGTCGCGCGCGCGCAGCGGGCGCCTCCTCCACCTGCTCCTCTCCAGCGACGGGCGGCAGGAGGGGCAAGAGGTTCTGCAGCGAGCCGTTGGCCCCGGGGATGGTGATGGGCGCTCCACCTGTTGGCGGCGAGCCCCGGGGGGAAGTGAGAGGGGGCGGGCCTTCTCAGATGGCTCGGAAGTCCCCCGGCCTTCTGAGAAATTTTCTAGGCCTTCCCCGACGACGCAAAAAACTTCTCAGAAGAAGCGAGGGCTTCTGAGACGTCCCGACGCCTTCCGAGACGGCCTTCTCCTTCGGCGGCTCGTGCTTTTTGCCGTCGGATCTCCGATGCCGGCGAGGCCCTCCGAGCGGCTGCAGAGGGAGACAGATCAGCAGAAGCATACACGTTCGGAGGCTTGCCCGGATGTCTTGCTTGACGAGCAAAACATGCTCAAACATCGTCCCCTGACTATTTTTTAAAATGCCATTCTTGAATCTTCCTCCGGTAGAGGGACATGCCCGACTTCACCCGGGACGCCAAGATCGTGGCCCTGCAACTCGCAAGGGGGGCTCCCGTGGCCCCCACGCCCCCCCCCGCCGCCGCAGCCCCCGCCCAGGCTGTCGCCAGGAGGCAGAAGAGGCCCCGAACGCGATTCCCACAGGAACCCAACACGCAAACCTCTTTTTCTCTTTTCTTCTTTTTAGCCGTATGTATGCCCTGGGGAGGAGAGCTTCAAGGTGCCAGTTCCTGCCGACGCAGCTCTTATTCAGACCGCAAGGCGGGCCGACAAAGGAAACCGGGCCAGGGACGGAACAGGGACGGGCCCGAAAGCGAGGAGCCGAGGAGCGAGAAATGGAGGAGGGGAGGAAGGGACGACGACAGGCAAGGACATTGCGACCTCGGCGCGGCGGCGGGATGGGCCGAGGGCCACATGTCAGATCTTGGCCAGAACTAGACGAGCGCGTTCCACCACTCGCAAAGGAACTGCTCGCAAGTGGCCTGGATCCGCCGCGGGGGATCTGCGGTAAATCTCATCGAAGCGAACCTGCGTTTTTCGGGCGTTTGCGAGTAGGCACTTTGCGAGTACTGGACCGCGCTTGGTGAAGCATACCTCGCGACGTGCCAGGCGAAAATCCCTCGTGCCTCAAACTGCTGGACAACGCTCGCCAATCCAATTCCAGGCCGCCGGAGAGGAAGCCGGGCGAGCGAGAGAACACCCCACCAAACACCGACCCCACCCAAACGACAAACGTTGCTGGCGCCGCAACTCCACAGCACCCCGCGGCTTCGAGGACGCCGACAACAAGGACATCAAGGCGACGACGACGACCACGGCGAGAGGCAAGCGAAGACGCAACATGGGGGGCGCGATGGACGGAGATAGCGGGGCCCGTAGACGACCCTGGAGAGCGGATGGAAGGAGAGCTCGCCTCCTCTGCGCGGCGCACGCGCGTGGGCAAGCCTGCGTTCTCCCCGCGGCCCTGCGCCTCCGCTCTGTCGCCCTCCTCTTCGTCTTCCCCGTGTCATTCCCCAGCCTCCTCTTTAGGGGGCCCCATGCAAACCCCACCCCTACCCCCCACGATTTCTGAGGGTAAGGCTGAGGTTCACTTCGTTCGGGAGCTCCCGAGCGAAGTTAACCCCCGACACCCTCCACCTCAGAAATCGTGGGGGTAGGGCTGGGGTAGGGTTCGCATGTGGAGAGGAAGCATCCAGGGAGGGGGGGGGGGCACGTCGAGGCGGCGCGGCGTGGCGGGCGCGAACAAAAACAAGGGGATGAACGAACGTGGAGAGGGAACCCCGTGTGTTCTTCCAGATGCTCGTCCGTTTTTCCCTCCGCCTCCTCCTCCTCCTCGTCCTCCCCGTCCGCCTACTCTGCTCGTCCTCCTCGCCCTCTGGGGCCCGGGGTTCCCCGAGGCGGCCCGGCTGGCGGGGGCCGCCCGCGCCGGCGGCGGGCAGCCCCTCGGTAGAACAGCATGTTTTCCCAGGTGCCCATCCGTCGTCGCTCCCATTGCGGAGTCCAGGTCAGGAGGAGGGAGCCTGCGTTGTCTGACCACCTGCCCACACGATTACGGGGGCCCGCGGAGGCACAAACAAACCGACACCGATTCCAGGAGCCCCCATGTGTCCCACATGTCATGGGTTTTGTCTCTTCCCCTCCATTCCCGATATTTCCAGATTTTCGTTGTGCCTCTGCTGCTGGGCTCGCCTGAGCCAGAGGCTACAGTTGCGTGCCCCTCTCGCGTCTACTACTACGGCCAAACAGGGGGGGGTCATGCCGCTTGCACGTCGGCTGCGCCGAATGGCACGGCACCCCGGAGAGCTCGAGAGGCGCGGCTGCAGTGGCAGGTCCCACCATCCCGATGTGACCTAATCTCTCCTGGGCCGCGTCCCCCCAGGCCTGGCAGGAAGACGTACACATCTGTCGGAAGAAGTAGGTAGAAACATGAAGTAGGAAGGCGGATGTAATGGATTGGGTCCAGGCCCCCCCAGAGAATAACAAAACACAGCAAAAGCGTGTCGATTCTTGAAGTAGGAAGGCGCTTGAAGTAGATTGGGATCTGGGAATCAAACAAATACCTACTTTCAACGACCGGCGTGTACTCATTTGCGTGCGCGTGGACTTCGACCTCCTGAAGTGTGCCGGTCCGTCGTCGCATCGGTGGCTCGTGCTGGAAGCACGCGCGCGTCGAAGTCGAGGAGCGCACTGTCCACCTGGCCGCGCTGCCAAAGCTTCTCACCTGCCCTTGCCTCGCATCGCTGCTGCGCTGGGCCCCATCGTGGTGCTGCGTTGCCCGGGCTCGCCGACGCCCAAGCAGTGCCCCGCGACCCTCGACGCTCGCGCCTGGGAGGCCTCATTCTTCGTTTCCCCGGCGGATTTCGGACGAAAAATCCGAACTTCTCAAAACATAAGCGAAGAATCGCCCTCCCACCATTTTTTGTTGCTACTTTTGAATACTCTCCCCTGTATGCCGAAGGGTCCACTCCAGGAGCCCGCGCAGACGGGAACCAGCACTCGGGGGCGCCGTCCCCGCGCTCCGCGTGGCTGCTATACGTCGCCGTGGGCGGCGGGGGGGGGGCTCTCGGGCACCCAGTGCGCCCATCGGCAGGCGGAGGGCGTCGCTGCCTGCGTGTCGGGCCACGCGTGGGGCTTCCGCGTGCTGGCAGTCTCTGCGCAAAACCCGTGCGTCGGCCAGTGTGCTTGCCGAGTTTGTGCCGCCTCCAGTGTTTCGGGGTTTCCTCCTCCCTCGCTCCTCCTCCTCCTCCTCGCTCCTCCCTCCTCCCTCCTCGCTCCTCGCTTCTCCCTCCTCCCTCCTCCCTCCTCCCTCCTCCCTCCTCCCTCCTCCCTCCTCCCTCCTCGCTCCTCGCTCCTCGCTCCTCGCTCCTCGCTCCTCGCTCCTCCTCGCTCCCCCTCCTCCTCCTCCTCGCTCCTCCTCCCTGCTCCTCCTGCGGGGCCCGGCGGCAAAGGTTCTGCGCCAGGAAGGCGGGGCCAATCCAATCAAGCCTCGCCTGCCCACCTCTCTCGTCCATCCTCCTCCTCCTCGCTCCTCCTCCTCCTCCTCCTCCTCCTCCTCCTCCTCCCTCCTCTTCCACCCTCGCCCTCTCCCAGCGCCTCCTCGTCATGCCCTCCCTGTCCCCCCCTGAGGCTACTGCCTTCCTCCTGCTTCCCTCGCCCTCCTCCCTGACTCCTCCTGTCTCCCGCGCCCCTCTTCCCCATTGTTCCTCCTCCTCTTCCTCCTTACTGCCAGCGGAGGCCCTCGACCCCCGCTGCGTCGGTCAACTGTTTTGTTTGTGACCTCGACCCGGGCTATCGACCTCATCCCGTTCCGTCGACAAGCAGCGGGGGGCCCTCGAGGGTGACGAGGGCAGCGCTTCCGCCTACGCTTCCCAGGAGCCTCCACAGGGCTTCCAAGACCCCACGAGACCCCCAAGAGGGTTTCGTGATGACTCCACAAGGGCTCTATATAATGCAGGATGGACTCCAAGATGGCTTAATACATCCATAAGATGGCTCCAGAGGGCCTTCTTGACCCTGTTGCGATAACAATATGTTGACCCATACCTTATTAGAGCCACGTTTGGAGACCCAAAACGACCCCAAGGATGCCCACATATTGACGCACAATTCGCACGACGCCATTCATGCCGCATTATCAACTTGTGTACGCTCCCTACGTTCTTCATCTGAGCGGAGAGGGTTACTTCGAGGAGGTGAGAGGGGGGAGTCGTGGGGATCTAGGGGTTCAGTATGAGAGAACGAAACAAAGAAAGATAACGATGTCATGAGATGGCTGGCGATGGTGATGACGGCCCCGCGTCGCTTGCCGACAACCAACCGACGCCCCCTCCCCCCAAAAAGAAGGCAAAGCGCAAGTCGTTCTCGAATGCCACATGTCTGCTATCGCGTGCTCGACGCGATGGGTCAATGTGTAATGCCAATGATGCGGCGACGATGCCTCTTTTGACTATTGAGCTAGCTATGATCCCACTCGTGCCCACCCCGTCCGATCCTCCTCTGATGGAGATGGGGAGACGGAGCGACTCCCCAGCACTGCTTGTACTATTTCGTGTGTGTGTGTGCCGTGTTTTTTTGTTGTGTGTGTGTGTGTGTCGTGTTTGTGTGTGTGAGTTTGTTTGTGTGTGTGTGTGGATTTTGGCGACCAGAACCATTGCGCGCGCTTCGCGCGCGCTCAATTTCTCCTTGGCATCGGGCCAAGCGTACAGCGCGGTAGAGGGGCCGTGCATGGATAATCGGGCCCATGGCTTGGAAGCTCACGCGTTGGTGTTTGAGGTCGCACTGAGGCTTTGTGTTCGAGGCAGTTCTCGGCCATCCTTGGCCGATATTGCAACTCTCGTCAAGACCAGTTGAGCCTCCGAGGCCATTCTGGAGCTAAGCTTTCGCAAAGGGTGGATCTCGCCCCGAGGGGCGGCAACGAGCCACGAGGAGCCCAGTGGAGACCTGGCAACCTCCACCTCCTCCCCCCTCCTTCCCAAATCCCCACCTCCTCCATTCCGCCTCTTCACCCCCCCCCGCTCGGGACGGGGTGGGCACGGAAGGGTACCATACGTCACCGTACTACCATAAGGAGCGCACAAGAAGGGACGAGAGGGCTTTTCCGGCCACGGCGGGCCTGAGCCGCAGACAGGTTCCGCCGCACAAATCCAGGGAGCGGCCCGAACACCTCAGCCCTGCGCCGCATCGCGGATGCATCGGCGGTGCGGCTCGATGTGGAGCCCGACTTTTCTTCACGGGGCCGTCGCCAATGCACCGCAAACGTCGCCGATACATCGCCAATGCATCGGCGATGCGACGCGATCCTTCGACCCCATCTACTCGGACCCCACCGGGGAGCCCGGGCCAAAGCGGTCCTTATTATAGCATCTTGACTGTATGCCGCTTCCTAGCTTTAGGTCGGGCATGTCCCCCTACAGGCGGAGCGTGGGCGAACAATCATAAAACAGAGTCAAACAATACACCAAAAATTGTCAACAATCATCAGAATCTAGTCCCAGGACTATTTTTGAATATTCCGCCTGTAGAGGGACAGGCCCGACTTAATCCTAACTTCACAGTGCTCAGGCACCACAGGCCTGCCCAAAAAAGTAGAGGGCGGAGGGGTGGGCGCTCGCCTGCGTGCCCCCTCAGGAACGTGGCGTTGAGGGCCTGCCCCGGGCCGCCGGGCAGGATTACGGCAGGTTCGCGTCGTGCCGACTTCGGCGTGGGTTTCTGACACCGTGGGGATCGTTCAACCTTGAGCTATCGGCCTCTCTCGAGACGTCAAGATCGTTCAACATCGCCCGATTATGGGTCGCTGGCGACGTTCAACGTTGAACGCCGCTGGCGGGGTCGCCGCGGGTCGACACGACGCGAACGGGCCGTACAGAGGGGGAACTCATGACATTATCGGCGGCGAGCCTAGGAGGGAAGCGAGAAGGGGCGGGCCCCTCTCAGGAGGCTCGGAAGTCTCCTGGCCTACCGAGAAGTTTCCTAAGCCTTCCCCGAAGACAAGAGAAACTTCTCGGAAAGCGCGAGGGCTTCCGAGAAGCCCCGCCGCCTTCTGAGAAGGCCTTCTCCTTCTCACTTCTCCCAGGCTCGCCTCCGACATTAGGAAGCAACCCCTGGGAGGTCTTCGTCAGAACGATCAAGGGCTACGTATTAGGCCTGATGAAGGGGCCATTGCGCCAAATCAGACTGTATTGAGCCCAGCATTAAGCCGGATTCAGTGGGAGTGAACAGCATCAATGAGCGGGATGAGGCCGAATTCAGCCCGATCGCGCCAGGTTTGGACCAGGGACATACTGGTGCCGATTCTGAGTTTGACCTCGCAGGACCTGCATCCTGAAGGGCGGGCGAGAGGGGAGAGCGGGCAGCCGTAGCAGGCTCGGGTCGGCCGACGCTTCTCGCGTCTTCGGCCCGGAGCAGGGGTGGACCTCAACAGTGCTTCGGGCGACTTCGTGGCCGTGTGCGTCTCGTTGTCGTGTGGCAGCAGAGGCGGATTGGGGGCAAAACGAGGGATAACGAAACCGTCCGAAGACGAGAAGCACTGTGTAGGCCCATGCCTGCTGGGGAGAGACGGGGGGAATGGGAGGCAGGGGCAGCTTGAGGTGCCCACGCTTGCGGCTGCATCAGGCCCCGTCGGCCGGCGTGCTCCCCGCCTTCTGCCAGGGGAGAGGGGCAGACCAAGCGGGGGAGGGGAGAAGGGGCAGAGGAGGGGAAGGGGCAGGGGGCCGGGAGAGGGGAGAGAGGCAGGGAGGGGAGGGAGGGGGAGAGGGGAGAGAGGCAAGCCAGGTGCGCTCGCGTCAGGTCTGACGTCCTGCCCCCCCCTCCCATCCCTTACCATGGCGCAAATCTCCTCTCCAGTCGCACAGGTCGCAGGAGAGAGGCCACTGGGGGGGGGGGAGGTGTGGGGCGGGAGGGGCGGGGGGGCCCTCGGAGTTCACTGGCGCCCGCGAGGACGCGGGCAGGGTGGAGAGACGGGCGGGGAAGGGGAGAGAGAAGCACCTGACGACTTTTCAGTCAGATGGACTGCGAGGGTAGAACCAACCAACAACAAAGGGTACAACCGAGCTCGAGGGTAAGTATAAACAAAAACCGAGGATATAAACCACGAGGGTGTAACAGACCGAGGGTTTTTGTGTGATGCCTGAGAATTTGTTGTACCCTCGAGTTTTTTTACACCTCAGGGATTTTACCGTCGCGATGCCGCGGCGGCTGCGCGCCAGGCTGCGGTGGTCATGGCGCTGTCGGGCTTGCGTCCTCTGGACAGCCCGGGCCCTGGAGAGGGTCCTGGGAAAGGGCCCCCCGAACCCCCGCCGACGAAGAATACGGTCGGAACTAGGACAGAATAGCATCCTTCAAGAACACGAGACCCTCCGCCGGCCGAAACACCCTGAACCGTAAGACCACTCGAGGGTGCCCTCCTCCAGGATGCACAAGAGCATCCAACGACAAACGAGGAACATGCGGGTATGCTCCCCGAGCCGACCTCGATGTTATACCTCGGTCCGACCGTACGGATGCCAAGCTGACTTGGTAAATCACACCAGCACTCTGTCTGGGCGCATGTATTTCAAGGCGATTCCTCTCCCATCCCCTCTCTTCACCTTGGGGGAAGGGCAGACCAACATGCTTGGTCGAAACTTCTGACAACAACATGTTAAGACACCCCAGCTGCGGATCCGTCCCCCCGCGGCGGGCCCCTTCGCCCATGTTCCTGGGTGGAACAATCCCCCCCACGATTGGCCTTAGGTTGGGCATGTCCCCCCACAGGCGGATTCTCGACGACAAGTGATAAGAAACACTCAACAGCTCCTCCAAAATAATCAAACATAACGGAGAGGAATCATCCCCACAACATATTTCTGACTCTTATTGAATATTCCTCCTGTCGAGGGACATGCCCGACTTACGATGAACCCCGCCTGCCCTCCAACCCCATTGCGCGCGCCCGGCGGCGTTTTCTTCAGCCGGCCGCCTCGGCGATGGGGATGAGGAATGGCAGCGGAGGCATGACGAACGGCTGCCCAGCGCCCAGGGGGTCCTGGGCGGAGGGGGGGAGGAGGGAAGGGAGGGCCACCACCTCC